CAGATTCAGATTATCAGCTTGTTAGTGAACTGTGTTCCGATTGACATGATCCCTACAAAGTGGTCATTGCTCCCTACTCCCTGAGCATGGGACATACGTTAAAGTTTACTTTGCTTTGGAACATTCATTCACAGATTTGCCTACGCCACGGCCTGCAGCATTTTCACACAGACGAAACTTACTAGAGATGCGTGAATTGTGACATAATATACCTCTGTAAATAAATACAATTTAAATTCACGTCTAAACTCACACTTTAATGCCCTTTGAATGGACTGGAATTGAAAACCACTGATTTAAAGGAATGGTGAAAAATAAAAATTTGCTGAAAATGTATTCACCCGCAGGCCCTCTTAGATGTAGATGAGTTTGTTTCTTCACCGGAACAGATTTGGAGAAATTAAGCTTTATATCTATTGCTCACCAATGGATTCTCTGCAGTGAATGGGTGCCGTCAGAATGAGAGTTCAAACAGCTGACAAAAATATTATAATACTTCAGTCCATCAATTAATGTCTTGTGAAGTGAAAAGTTGCATGTCTGTTAATAAATCAAATCCATCAGGGTGTTTTTAACGTCCCTCTCTGAAGCTCGCTATGTAATATTGCTATCTCCATTGAAAAAGTCATCTTATCTGAATCAGGAGAGAAATATGCACATATCAAGCACCGCTTATGAGCAAAAACAGTCCACAACAGTTCTAAACAAAAATGTTGGTTGATTTTGATGTGAGAGGACAACAGGGGAGGAAGCGTCTCACTTGAGGAAGCATTATTATGCATTATGGACTTATATTTTGGCCAGAAGCAACGGTTTAAAGTTAAAAACTCCTTTATAATGGATTTGTTTCATACAAACATGAAGCTTTTCTCTTCACAAGACAATTCCTCGTGTCCTACGTGTGATTCCTTTGGTGTCAATAAAGACTTAATTCTAGGTTCTCCTGCATTCTCCTCGTTCTTCGCTCCTTGTTCTGTCATATGCGGAAACCGTTGTGGCGGATGCAGGATGTATGCGTCGCGCGCATCTTTGAGATATGCTAGTCTCGTGAGTTTGTTTACAGGAGCAAAGGTAGCAAAGTTTCCTTACTTTAGCAAAGGAAAACCAGTGTCCTCTTGGCTTGTATCGAAATCCTCCAACATTTGTCTTTACAAATCCTCGGTTTGTACTTCTGATTCATGACTGGCGTTTTGTTGTTTTGTGCTTCTGCGTATGACAGATAGCAGAAGTGATAGAAAAGTGTTTATTACATTTGAAATATGGATTTTTTCTTACAAAAACGCATGGATTCGCTACAGGAGGCCTTTATTCCCCCCCCGGAGCCGTGTGAGGCTCGTTTTACTATGGATTCGCGTGCTTTATTTGACATCTTGTGGACTGTTGAACAGAAACACCCACTGACTGCAATGATAGAGCTTAGAAGTGCCAGGGCAATTTTTAATATAACTCTGATATGATTCATCTGAAAGAAGAAAGTCATATACACCTAGGATGGCTTGAGGGCGAGTAAATAACAGGCTAATTTTCATTTCTGGGTGAACTAACCCTTTAAAATGCAAATATTTTGTCGAATTAAAAAAATCAAACACTAAAATCTAAAACCAATCTTTTCAAATGATACAAGTGAATTTAGGCATCACAACATTATAATGTAAAGCATGAAGTTCCATGTTCATTTTGAGCTGAACTAATTTGCTAAATATTTAAAGCAGTGGTTTTCAATTTATTTCAGTCCTCACAACCCCCCCCTTGCATATTTTATCTCTCAGATTCAGATTATCAGCTTGTTAGTGAACTGTGTTCCGATTGACATGATCCCTACAAAGTGGTCATTGCTCCCTACTCCCTGAGCATGGGACATACGTTAAAGTTTACTTTGCTTTGGAACATTCATTCACAGATTTGCCTACGCCACGGCCTGCAGCATTTTCACACAGACGAAACTTACTAGAGATGCGTGAATTGTGACATAATATACCTCTGTAAATAAATACAATTTAAATTCACGTCTAAACTCACACTTTAATGCCCTTTGAATGGACTGGAATTGAAAACCACTGATTTAAAGGAATGGTGAAAAATAAAAATTTGCTGAAAATGTATTCACCCGCAGGCCCTCTTAGATGTAGATGAGTTTGTTTCTTCACCGGAACAGATTTGGAGAAATTAAGCTTTATATCTATTGCTCACCAATGGATTCTCTGCAGTGAATGGGTGCCGTCAGAATGAGAGTTCAAACAGCTGACAAAAATATTATAATACTTCAGTCCATCAATTAATGTCTTGTGAAGTGAAAAGTTGCATGTCTGTTAATAAATCAAATCCATCAGGGTGTTTTTAACGTCCCTCTCTGAAGCTCGCTATGTAATATTGCTATCTCCATTGAAAAAGTCATCTTATCTGAATCAGGAGAGAAATATGCACATATCAAGCACCGCTTATGAGCAAAAACAGTCCACAACAGTTCTAAACAAAAATGTTGGTTGATTTTGATGTGAGAGGACAACAGGGGAGGAAGCGTCTCACTTGAGGAAGCATTATTATGCATTATGGACTTATATTTTGGCCAGAAGCAACGGTTTAAAGTTAAAAACTCCTTTATAATGGATTTGTTTCATACAAACATGAAGCTTTTCTCTTCACAAGACAATAATTGATGGACTGAAGTCTTGTGGATTACTTGTGGATTATTGTGAGGTTTTTATCAGCTGTTTGGACTCTAATTCTGATGGCACCCATTCACTGCAGAGGATCCATTGGTGTGCAAGTGACGTAAAGCTAAATTTCTCCAAATCTGTTCTGATGAAGAAACAAATTATCTACATCTTGGATGGCCTGAGGGTGAGTAACACAATTAAATATCAAATATCGATCATACCTTGAGTCGATATCTCTAATATCAGCTTAAAGTAAGAATAAAAAAAATGTAAGCAGAATTTAAATAAATAATTGTGACAAATTTTACATTAAGCCCCAGTTACCTGTGTGCAAGGGTCGGCGTGGTTGGGGAAAGTTCTGATTGGAGCATAGAATTTGGTGACACGTCAGACAGAGTGACGTCATCACCAGTGCCATTGATTCGGCAGAGGTCCGCAGTGACGGGTGGAGTCAGGGGGGAATGAATGTCAGCAGGCGATTCCTGTGGAAAACAACAAATCAGTGGGTTATTTGTTGCACCCTCACATACTTATGACATAAACTTCTTTTACATATATAACCGTTAAACTGCTAATTACAATGGTGGGATTTAGGAAAACTAAATTTTTCCTGATTTGATGAGATTTCCCTTGGAGACTGAATGTGTGAATGTGAGATGTTGTGAACAGTCTTTACGGACATCATTAGGCCCTTTCGCACCGCTTTAGTTCCAGAACTCTTTATTTGACATCTTGTGGACTGTTGAACAGAAACACCCACTGACTGCAATGATAGAGCTTAGAAGTGCCAGGGCAATTTTTAATATAACTCTGATATGATTCATCTGAAAGAAGAAAGTCATATACACCTAGGATGGCTTGAGGGCGAGTAAATAACAGGCTAATTTTCATTTCTGGGTGAACTAACCCTTTAAAATGCAAATATTTTGTCGAATTAAAAAAATCAAACACTAAAATCTAAAACCAATCTTTTCAAATGATACAAGTGAATTTAGGCATCACAACATTATAATGTAAAGCATGAAGTTCCATGTTCATTTTGAGCTGAACTAATTTGCTAAATATTTAAAGCAGTGGTTTTCAATTTATTTCAGTCCTCACAACCCCCCCCTTGCATATTTTATCTCTCAGATTCAGATTATCAGCTTGTTAGTGAACTGTGTTCCGATTGACATGATCCCTACAAAGTGGTCATTGCTCCCTACTCCCTGAGCATGGGACATACGTTAAAGTTTACTTTGCTTTGGAACATTCATTCACAGATTTGCCTACGCCACGGCCTGCAGCATTTTCACACAGACGAAACTTACTAGAGATGCGTGAATTGTGACATAATATACCTCTGTAAATAAATACAATTTAAATTCACGTCTAAACTCACACTTTAATGCCCTTTGAATGGACTGGAATTGAAAACCACTGATTTAAAGGAATGGTGAAAAATAAAAATTTGCTGAAAATGTATTCACCCGCAGGCCCTCTTAGATGTAGATGAGTTTGTTTCTTCACCGGAACAGATTTGGAGAAATTAAGCTTTATATCTATTGCTCACCAATGGATTCTCTGCAGTGAATGGGTGCCGTCAGAATGAGAGTTCAAACAGCTGACAAAAATATTATAATACTTCAGTCCATCAATTAATGTCTTGTGAAGTGAAAAGTTGCATGTCTGTTAATAAATCAAATCCATCAGGGTGTTTTTAACGTCCCTCTCTGAAGCTCGCTATGTAATATTGCTATCTCCATTGAAAAAGTCATCTTATCTGAATCAGGAGAGAAATATGCACATATCAAGCACCGCTTATGAGCAAAAACAGTCCACAACAGTTCTAAACAAAAATGTTGGTTGATTTTGATGTGAGAGGACAACAGGGGAGGAAGCGTCTCACTTGAGGAAGCATTATTATGCATTATGGACTTATATTTTGGCCAGAAGCAACGGTTTAAAGTTAAAAACTCCTTTATAATGGATTTGTTTCATACAAACATGAAGCTTTTCTCTTCACAAGACAATAATTGATGGACTGAAGTCTTGTGGATTACTTGTGGATTATTGTGAGGTTTTTATCAGCTGTTTGGACTCTAATTCTGATGGCACCCATTCACTGCAGAGGATCCATTGGTGTGCAAGTGACGTAAAGCTAAATTTCTCCAAATCTGTTCTGATGAAGAAACAAATTATCTACATCTTGGATGGCCTGAGGGTGAGTAACACAATTAAATATCAAATATCGATCATACCTTGAGTCGATATCTCTAATATCAGCTTAAAGTAAGAATAAAAAAAATGTAAGCAGAATTTAAATAAATAATTGTGACAAATTTTACATTAAGCCCCAGTTACCTGTGTGCAAGGGTCGGCGTGGTTGGGGAAAGTTCTGATTGGAGCATAGAATTTGGTGACACGTCAGACAGAGTGACGTCATCACCAGTGCCATTGATTCGGCAGAGGTCCGCAGTGACGGGTGGAGTCAGGGGGGAATGAATGTCAGCAGGCGATTCCTGTGGAAAACAACAAATCAGTGGGTTATTTGTTGCACCCTCACATACTTATGACATAAACTTCTTTTACATATATAACCGTTAAACTGCTAATTACAATGGTGGGATTTAGGAAAACTAAATGTTTCCTGATTTGATGAGATTTCCCTTGGAGACTGAATGTGTGAATGTGAGATGTTGTGAACAGTCTTTACGGACATCATTAGGCCCTTTCGCACCGCTTTAGTTCCAGAACTAAATGTACGGTACTAAAGTACTGGGACGATTTTGCGCGAACTATTTCCCAGTACCATTTAAAGGGTTGCATTCGCACTGAGAGTGTGTACTAAGAAGTGACGTAAGCCGGTTGACAGCGACGTCATTTGTGCGTGGCATTCAACAACAGAAACAAAGAACTACGTTAACAACAGGAGGATGGAGGACGCTGTGATCGGAGCTGTGTTTTTGTTGTGTCTCGCGGGTTTCACAATAATGGACATGGAATGTCGACGTATACGTAAAACGATTGAAAGAAAGGAAAGGAAGACTAAGAATCTCCAACGACAACTGGCAGTGCTACATTTGCTACAAGTGCCTGCACTTCAGCGTCCGTCCATCTATCGCTGTTCTCCATACAGGTCCATCCTCCATTACAGGACATACCTGAGAGGGCGAACTTGCCAGCTCCATCTTTTCTAGAGACTTCTCCTTGGCCATCCTGGCTGCTTCCTTGTACTCTGCAAATTTTTCTGCAAACTGAGAAGAGAAATGGGTTTTAATAATCACATTAAGTGGGTTTTTAGTAGCCGGTTAGTGCTAGTTTCACTGGTCCAGCTGATAAAGCCCATCAACCAGCAAGATCTTTCTGCTGAAGCTTATTCGACCAACAAAGTCATGATGGTCAAGTTAGCTAAATAAAGCCTGATGCATACAAAATGCAGTTTATGCTGGTGCCTATTAATTCTTGTCTTTTTAATATTGTATGTAGAAACAGAAATAAGGATATCATGTTTATGTGTTAAAATGGATGAACTATTTTAGAGTGGATATGCGGTATCTCTGCTAAAAAAAGGAGCAATGGTCACAGTTCCCAATATAGACTACTCCCATTAAAGCTTCCAGAGCACTTGAAGGACTTCTAGCATTTCCCTCTGAATATCCAGTGGGGAGACTGCTGTACACTTTAGGTTCAGGGCAACAGTGTTCCATTAACAATGTTTAAACGTCAGATCTCAAGTGAATACACATCAGAAAGAGAAGGTTTATGGCAGGAAACAGTTCAAATAATGCCCATAATATGGACTGATTGACATACAGAGTCAACAGTCAGCAAGAAACAGTGTATGAAAGAGAGTGATCCATTATTGTATCATCATACTCATAGATCTGTTATTGGAGACTGGAGTTAGAAAGTTCAGATATGACCATTGATCTTTCCTTTGTTGTTATTTTGAACTAAAACTAAAACTATTGAAAAATTTGTAATTAAAATTAAGCTAAATTTAAATATCAATATTATATGAAAAACTTTTAAAAAGGTTTTCCTTGGCAACTAACTGAAATAAGTTTAAGTATTAAAATTACTAACAAAAATGGAGTGAATATATGTAGTATCTTAAATAGTTTAATTATATTCGGTTTTGACGTCATGGTTCAGTATGGTTTCGGTATAGCAGGGGGACAAAACTAAACATAAAATTGCTTTTTTTATTAAACAGTGGTTTACTGAAGAAACGGCTCTTTCTTTAAATAAAATCAATTATAATTAAAATTTTCTTAGGGATAAAAATCTACCTCAGCTCATGCTCTGAACTATAGGGAGCCCCTTTACATTACTATAAGGTTCAATTAAATTTCTCCCCCCGGAGCTGTGTGGAGTGTACTTTATGATGGATGGATGTACTTTTTTGGGCTTCAAAATTTTGACCACCACTCACTGCCATTACAAATCTTGGAAGAGTCAGGACATTTTTTATATGATTCTGATTGTAATCGCTTGAAAGAAGAAAGTCATATACACCTAGGATAGCTTGAGGGTAAGTAAATCATAGGGTAATTTTCATTTTTGGGTGAACTAACACTTTAATAGGCTAAAATTAACCAATATAATATAATATGTGGAACATTGTGAATGACTGGTGTTTAAACTCTGCAGAATTCTTTGGCCACATATTCTGTGTGGATTTAATGACAATGCTCCAGGATGGCATTTAATCAGTGATCAATTATGGAATAATTAAATAGCTTATTTGCTGTACAATGAGAAGTCTGTCTTAAAAAATTTTCTAAAATGTCTAAATGAGATGGTCAGGACATGGTCAGAACTGTCTGCTCACAAACACTTAAATGCCTTCAGTACATCTCAAGATATCTCCTGCGTTATAAGCCTGTGAAATGTTATTGATGAAATGACGACAGTCGCTGCCAGTGAATGTGTTTGTGTGGGTGTGAAACCGAGAGCAAATAAGGAGGGAGGAAAGAGCGAGAAGGAGAAGGAGAAGGAGAAGGAGAGAGAGGAAAGAGGTGCACTGTGAATGTTGCACATATTATGTGGAACTCACATAATCATAATTTGAGCATTCAGAGACTCAGGCATCTTCACAGCAAAAAATTCTATCCTTAATCAGTATCAGTTTCCCAGCAGAAATATCTAAACGTTCTTACAAAAATATGTATTAACCTGCAAAATTACTTCATGTCATGGTGTTTATCCTGTTCCTGTGGTAAGATTTTTTCTTACTTGTTTTAAACATAAGCATCACATTTTCATCTATTTTTTGCAGTGTACATCTTTAAGATGGGGAATGTAAAACACGGAATAGATGGATGCACAAACATACTGATCCACGAAGACTGCGTGGATAAAAGGCCTCGAGCGCTCTCATACTCCCACACACTTCCAGAACAAGGCCAACTGGACACACACAAACGTGTAATTTCAAGTGAGAAAATCGACAGTGGGCTACCACTCTCAGCTTCCTGTGTGTGTGTGTTACACATGTTATACAATCATTCCCTCAGAGAGGATGAATGCTGTTCCCTCTGTTCTATACTTCCAGTATTTAGCATTCGCACAGATATTACAGGTTAACCTACAGAGAACAACAGTAGGGTTTTGGAAGTTATAATCCCTAATTTTTAATTGCACATACTGTACATATTTTAAAACAAATGTGCTACGAGCACTGAGGTTGGTAAGTGATGGTTTATGCCTCTGTGAAAAGCAGAAATCAGTGTGATTTCAATTTCATATAATTTTTTAAGTAATGGATATCTGGTGAATTACACATAATCCTGAAGAGAGATCCACCAATCAAGTTGCTGTTACCATAGTAATGGGAATTATTGGGAATGGGAATGAGCAAAGCTCAAAAGTGGTAGTCCACATGTCCATAGCTAATTTTAGTTCTCAGTACTCTGAAACAAGCATCCGTTCAGACAAATAGTCAAATGCTCATTACCTGTAAAACTGTAATGGTCGAAAAAGATTTTTGATGTGACTTTTGGATCAATTCCTCCATGTAGAGATGACAATACTGGAATTCAATTATCACATAAATAAATTATAAGCATAATACAATGATTTCCGAAGGATCATGTGACACTGAAGACTGGAGTATGCTGAAAGTTCAGCTTTTCTGCCACAGGAATAAATTACATTTTAAAGTATATTACAATAGAAGACAGCTATTGTAAGAATATTTTACCATATTACTGTTTTTTGATCAAATAAATGCAGACTTGGTGAGCATTAGAAACTTCTTTCAAAATAAAAAAAAACATATACAGCGGGTAAAATAAGTATTGAACACGTCACCATTTTTCTCAGCAAATATATTTCCAAAGTTTCTGTTGACTTGAAATTTTCACCAGATGTCGGTAACAACCCAAGTAATCCATACATACAAAGAAAACAAAACAAATAAGCTCAGAAATTAAGTTATGTGTAATAAAATGGAATGACACAGTGAAAAAGTATTGAACACTTGAATAAAGGGAGGTGCAAAAAGGCATGGAAAGCCGAGACACCAGCTGAAATCTATCAGTAAATAGAAAGCAATCCTGCCACTAGTCAGTGGAAGTTAATATTAGCTGGTTCAGTCCCAACACCTACAGTACCAGGATGATGAAGATGAAACAAGGGTGGACATTTCAGCAAGACAATGATCCCAAACACAGCCAAGGAAACTCTCAGTTGATTTCAGAGAAAGAAAATAAAGCTGCTAGAATGGCCTAGCTAATAAACTGACTTGAATCTAATAGAAAATAAGAACTAAAGATCAGAGTTCATAGAAGAGGCCCACAGAACCTTCAAGATTTGAAGACTCTGTGGAAGAATGGGCCAAAATCAAACCTGAGTAATGCATGCGACTAGTTTCTCCAGACAGGAGGCATCTTGAAGTTGTCATTACCAACAAAGGCTTTTGTACGAAGTATTAAATACATTTGAGTAGTTCAATACTTTTCCCCTTGTGTCATTCCATTTTATTACACATAACTTAATTTCAGAACTTATTTGTTTTATTTGTATGTATGGATTACTTGGGCTGTTACCGACATCTGGTGAAAATTTAATGTAGCACCTTTAGAAATATATTAACTGGGAAAAAAATGGTGATGTGTCCAATACTTATTTTACCCGCTGTATACACAACAATGTTTGCGCTGTGCCTATTAAGTGTGGTAAACCTAATGAAGTGATGAGCATGTGTATGTGTGGTAGTCCAGCTCAGGAACTTCACAGTTTGAGACTTTTCCATGCTCTCGTGTATGTGCTGCTCAGCTAGCTAAATGCTATGTACTTTGAAGCTGGTATTTGTCTTTATTTTCAGATGCAGACGGCTCGGCAAGAGCTCTAATCAGAGTCCACGCAGCCTGCTGTATAATCACTCACTTCAGGCTTGTAATTGCATGAGAACAGCTGAAAGCTGTACAGTGGGTGGACAGCAGCAAAGAATAGTGCTAAGACTAATTAGGCAGATTTTACAAAATTCCCAGAGAAGATTTTCTTCTTCCTGAAAATGCTAGTTAACGTTATCACATTGTGCTAAAACATGCTGACTTTGCTCACACAGAGTATAACAAAATTTGGTAATAATATAGCATAATGAGGGATTTTCGAGTTTACTTTTTTATCGGAAACAATTAAATTAGGTAAAGGATTTTTAGAAGCAGAAGGGTTAAATCTCACGTATACACACACTAATCTACATAAATTATGGTGTACAAGAATCACACATATGCAGCCGTGATGAAGCAATAACGTCGCACATGAACTTGATGGATGAATCAGTGAATTGTTTTTGAACCTGTTCATTTATATAAAACATTCAACAAACTGTTTCACTCAAACTAAACAAGAAGAATGCATTTGGTTTAAAAACCATGATAAATTGTGATAAAGTGATCATGCTACACTACTACTGCTAAAAACACTGCATGCAGCTGAAAAAGCTTCACTATTTTGAAAACGAGCTAGTTATGTAATAGCATGCTACTGAAAATTTTTGTTCTGAAAAGCTAGTATTGTTTCTACTTTAAGTTATTGTCTCTAAATAAAATGGCAAAAAAATGTGAAAGAGAAAAGACCTCAAAGAAAAATACAAACTAAACTGAAACTGCATTTGATCAAATGCTGTCAAGTGAAGTTATATTCAAGATAAAGTGAATAGCACTCAGCAGATAGAGACCTTACTGCTGGCTGTGCTACTGCCTATTATAAGTCAATGGTGGTTCAGATAAGGACAAGGCTTTAGTGACAAGTCTCTGTCATTCAGAGTGACAGGACCACAATCAGCTGTGCCATACAAAAGTAAGGGCAGAATAAATTGCATAGGGGGAGAGGGAGAAAACACAGGAATGGACAGAGCTTAAATATCATATCAAGCTTTACATGAGCTCTTCGATCAATGTAGCATCCTGCTAATACCTTTAGCCACTGTGAGCCGTAATTGAAATTCCCTTCAGGGCTCAGACTTGACTTAAGATCAGACTCTAATTACAGCTGCTGCGCTGACCCCATTCCCTGCCCCAGTCTCAGAAGGAACAGTAACATTTAAAGGCATTATAACTAAATTGTTACCATATTCATGTACCCTGATGGTATTTTGATGATACGCCAAAGTATTTAAAATTATTCCATGGAAAATCATGACCATGATTTTTATTTATTTTTTTTGGTTTACTTTTTGGTTGATAGATGCCTAAATCAAGTTAAGACTGCTAGTGTAGAGTTTTAACCACCACTAATGCTGCATGTTAAAGAGGTTATGGGATAGGTACATGACGATTAAGGGTGTCCACACACTTGTACAGCACTTTGGGATGCAGTAGTTGCATTACAAATGTGCTTTATTAAAAAACTAGATCCAAAGTCAAAGTTTGAATTTTAATAAAATTTAATTACTAAACATATTAAGTTTAATCAAACATAATGCATGTGGCATCACCAGTGAAAAAAGCATAATTTCCTTACACCTTGAATACGTGCGTGCAAACAACCTTGTCACATGTATAATTAAATCATAATTTTTCACACAGGCTTTTAAATAAATTTTTCATGGTAAAAGCATTTTTTACCCATTAAAAATACCATATCACATTTTAAAACAGAGGAACTGTAGGAATATGGTTACATTGATTGTTATTAAAGGTCAAATTATCTGATATTTTAAGAGACTTACTGACCGTGACACAATGTCTGCAGGGGTCCAGTCAATTCCATTCTTTTATCAAGGCTTTCTACGTTTTTAACTTTATGTGCATTGTGCAATAAAAAAAAAAATCTTATTTAGAAATTAAAACCATGCTCATCACAAAAGAGGTGTATTCAAGTAATTGTATCTCAATTGCATGTTAATGTATTTTTGAATGAGCATCATGTTGTTAACCCTATGGTATGTTTAAGGTCACACACAATTAAAAAGGATCAACTGCTGATAAACAGTGTGTGCTTGCCTGTGTAGGTGTCAACAGTCACAGTGCAAAGTGCACTGGTTCACATGTTATTTCTGTCGCTGAAACCAAAAGCTAAGGGGAGGGCTGAGCATCCCAACTCACAAGCACATTCAGGCATACTGCGGGAGCTATTTTAAATCCTGCTCGGCTAAAGCTTAGGAACCGTAGGGATATGGTTAAGACTGCACATGAAACACTTCATGTGACTGCTGAGATTTTGGTGGAGTGGTTGAAATTAATAGTGTGTCCACTCCTGCAGGAGCAATGTTTGTGAACTATACGCTAATTAGATCGAAGGGTTCATGATTTGGCGTAAAAATCCATATGGCTGATTTTAACAGTGTGTTTTTTGGTGGAGAATGGTGGAGGTACATGGTCTGTAGTGGTCTGATTCCAAGTATTGTGGACAATTACACAAACTACATGAAAATAAATAGGTAAAACTATGAAAGCCTTAGAGTAAACAGCCTACAGTAAGATGGATAGACTTACTCTAGCGGATGTAGAGTCCCTACTACTGCCTATTGATGTTTCCTGGATTATTGGACCATTTCAACCACTGTATAAGACTGCACAGAAGTGACCAATTCAAGCGCATGCTGCTCTCCACAGGGAGAGTGAATTAATCCACTTCTATCCAAGGGAATATGTTTGATAGCAATCTCTAGCAGGTCGGTCCTTCGCACACTCAAATCTCTTGTGCACAAAAAGGTCCTGCAAATTCAACTGATGCATCAAACTCACATTATATTTTTGAGATTTGGAAAGCACTCTCAGAAGCTTTTCTTGGAGCAAAGACAATCGTTTAATCTCCACCGAACATATTATAAGACTGTTCCATTCCTTTCCTCAATTTCCCTTTGCAGTCCTATACACTCTCAAAAAACAAATGGTCCAAAAGGGGGTTTCGCAGAAGAACCATTTTTGGGTTCAACCTTTTGTGAAATGGAAGGGTTCCATGGATGTCAAAGGTTCTTCATGGAAGAATAGGCTTTCTTTTTAAGAGTGTAAACATGAATGAAAATAAAACACCACATTACCTTTGATCCATCCAGGCTGATGATCCTGTACACGTTCCTGGTACTGTCATAGAAGTAAGATACAGTGACCGCATGCTTGCTGGTGGGCATCCAGTTCTTCTTAGTACTGGGGTCTATCTGGAAGACGTGTGCCCGGGTGCTGTAGATGGGCTGCTCCCTGAAAGGTAGGAAGAAAAAATGGTGAACCTCTTTGTGCCTGAGCACCATCGTCTCTCCAATTCCACCAGGCGCGGTGCAACGTCCCGGTAGACGGATGACCATTTCTTCAGCCTCCATTTTGCTGCTGAGCACCACTGTTTGAACCCAGGTGGAATCCTGGGCCTGTCCTAACCAGTCAGACACATTGGTGCCCTGCTACCAGTGCAAGGCGACCATTCAACGCCCTGCTGATATGGAAATGCCAGCTGTTTGGCTGGGGCCGTGTGGGATGGACACTAAATATAGTCAGGGACACAGTAATCTGTGCAGTCCCACCCCTATTGGCCTGGATCGATTTAGGAGAAAATCTTAAAAATAATGGGCGTGTCAGTCCTAAATTTAGGACTCCTAAATGTTTGTTCTAAGAGTATTTCACAAAGCGTTTTAGCGCTAAAACTAGCTCCTAAATCTGTGAAATGTTAGGAGCAGTGAAGAGGACTCCTAAGTCACTAAGACCAAATCTGGACTATCCTAAAATGGCTGTTGCCAGCAATCTGCCTCGGAATATAAACATTTTAGAAACATTTGACGATAATGAGCTTTTAAAAAGGTATCGGCTTTGGTTTGGAGGTTATCCCCAGAGCCGGCCCAATGCATAAGCGAACTAAGCGGCTGCTTAGGGCCACCAGGGGGCCCCCAAGAGTACATGAAAAAAAGCAATATTAAATATTTAAATCATTTATACTTATCATCTTATTATTTCAATAGCGACACATCATGCAGGCATAATAGCGCTGTATGACAGATGTATGACTTTTATTTAGTTTTTCCTTTTTTATTCGAAATATCCACAAACTTGTTAACTAGCCTACATCATGAACTATATGATACAGACATTCTATTTGTCAAATATGTGTAAATTAATTTGTTTTGTCATTTAAACAACCTTAATGACCATGTTAGTTGATCTATAATGCACGCTGGATGCTGTCGTGTGGATCTGTCGAATTTACATCACCTAAATTCACCCATTTCTCCCAAAATACATGAAAGTAAGTGGTCAGCGAACTGAGAGAAAATAGAGTAAACTTTATGGTTACCTACACAATGTGTATTTGACATGTCGTCAAATTTTAATTGAAAGGTTTATTATTGACGCTTTCCATAGAATGGAATTTAACAAACTATACATTTCTTTTTTTTGCTAGTACTTAATTGAAATATCTATTTAAATGTCTGAAATCTTAAAATAAATTAAATAAAGCGGTTGAAAACTTTTTGAATACAGTTTTGATATATGAAAAGCACCGAGAGTGTCTTTCTCAGGCTCAGCGCCAGCCAAAGCGCGGCGCGTCAAAGGGTTAAATTCGATTGCATTTCAGGGGTGGATGGGGGACAAATTGAACCTGGGGTGGGAGGGGGCCTGGCTGACTAGTTAATTAGCATAGCCTAGGTAGGGTATCTTCTTGTTTTAGGGAAGTTCATGTTTGATTAAATATCCGTAAATAGCCTTGACATCATAATATATGAATGTATAATATAGAATGTCGTGGAAAAGTTCATTTATTTCATTTGTTGAGATAGTGAACTGGTGGGTTTTTGTTAAATGTGAGCCAAAAAATAAAGTTTTGTCAGGTGGATGCTGCACACTGGTGGTGGTTGAGGAGAGACCCCCCACCACATGATTGTAAAGCGCTTTGGGTGTACAACAATACACAATAAAGCGCTATATAAATGCATCATTCATTCATTCATTCATTCAAAATCATCACAATTAAAAGAACCAAAGACTTCAGTCTGTGTAAAAACTACTTCAGTCTGTGTGCATTGAATTTATTTAATACACGAGTTTCACAATTTGAGTTGAATTACTGAAATAAATTAACTTTTCCACAACATTCTAATTTATTGAGATGCACCTGTTTTATAATATTTTACTTAGCTAGTTTTTGATTAAAGTTTTTGTCTTCTGAGTAAAAATAACTTTCCTGTGTATATATTTTGGTAATAAAAATAAGCTTCTGTTTCATAAACTTGGTGCTGATAACAGCTTAATATTATTTACCTTACTTATACTCCAATACCATTATGCCTCAGTTGTTGTTTTAGATGTGTGTTTAATAATTTATGTTGTTAAAATTACATTCTATTCCGTAAATGCATTGTCAGCTGGTTTATTTAGCTACTTTTCAGTACACCACATTAAGTATGCCACTTAGTACTGTAAGACTTTGAATGTTAAAGTGCAAATTAACACCTGACCACTCTTGTGGGTTTGCTACTGTTACAATTAAAAATCGTAGAAGGGTAAAAACATAAGAGGCAGACATTGGTATGATGTAAGCAACACAGCAACAAATAAAATCGATAATGGGTTTGCGAATAATCAAGCATTGACAATAATCATTTTATCACTTTAATAATCAATCGTATTGGTGGCACTGAGGGGCCCCATGTAAAATTCTGCTTAGGGCCCCATAAAGGCTTGGGCCGGCCCTGGTTATCCCAACTCCAAATTTTTTATTATATCCTTAATATATAGCTGTTCTCGCATCCAGTTTGGTTTTCTTTTGTTTGCATGTCTTACTATCAGCCATTATTATTCTACTCTGTTAATTAAAAGGCTGTTAATATGCATATTAGGGCTGCCCCCTAATAGTCGACTAACCGTTAGTCGACGAGAAGAGGCTTGGTCGACCAAAATTTCATTAGTCACTTAGTTGCACAAAAAAAAATTTCACACGAAATGGCGAAACCACGCAGTCCTTAAAATAGGTCTCAAAATACTTCGTCATTTTTGGTCATACAGATAAGAGTAATGCATCTTTTGTATCTGTAAAGACTCTACGTTTATTTGTGTTTATTTGTGTGCACTCAGAATAACAACGAAACGTTGCGCTTTTGTAAAATAATTAAAGCAAACAGGATGCGCTTTCTGCCGTCTCGGACTCTGTGAACTTGAGCGCGTCACTTCGAAACTCTGTGTATTCTTGCCTTATTACAGACATGAAAAATATATCTATAGAGAGTGAAACTTTTAAATGAACCAATTCAAATAGAAAACAAATATTCTCAGATTATGTAATCCATATGAAACATGCATACAGGCGCATACTGCGGAGATGACGAGTCAGTGTCGCCGACTTCACCGAAAACAGAAGCACTAGTGTAACAATAAATTATCAAAACATTAATGCAGTGTACTTGCTGTTTTTCCCTAACACATTCATAATTATTATATTTGCCAGTGCGCTTGAGCGCTTATTAGGCTATGTAGGCAACTAAAGGCTCATTTTTATGATTTATATGGTTTATTATTAAAAGTGCGACTAATAGTCGACTAATGCTTAAAATGAACGACCACTAGTCGACCAGAAAAATCTTTAGACGAGGGCAGCCCTAATGCATATTGACTAATTGTTTACGAGAAGCATACATATAAGAAGCTGACAATTAGCTGAATATATACTTGTTTAATTAGTGACACTTAGCCTGCATTTTAAATTCTTTATTTGAATGTGGCAATTAACATTTTTATTTTAAAACCTTTGTTTGTATATGGCAACATAATATTACGCTCTACAATATTTCTATGAATGAATCTCTGACAGAAACTATCAGCCAATCACTGTGGGCATAGTTAGTAAGCATGCTGACATCATTCATAGCAACGAGGTCAACCCCGTCCTTTACTCTTAGCTTAAGACTTCTGTCTATTCCTTAGTAAAAGTTTGTCTCAGCAGCTTTGTGAATAGGTTTAAGAGAAAACTCTTAGCTTTTACTGCTATTTAAAATAACTCTTAGTGGTAAGATAAAATGTTTTGTGAATACGGGCCCTGATCGTTGCTGTTGGAAGTACGTTTGCACACGTTGGACGAAGGTAACACAAACACTAGATAAACTAATGTGCATTACTTCTTTTAGTCTAAGAGGATGAGTGAAATTTCATAAACACCCCAGCCAAGTTTTCCAATGCTGCATTTAAAGATTGTGTTAACAATTCAAAAGTCAACAATACACCCTTCATAAGCACATTTTTCGCAAAAATGAAAATTCTGTTTCATTTACCGATATGACTTTATTTCTTCTATGTAACACAAAAGAAGATATTCTGGAGAAGGTTTCAACTGTTTTTCTCTATACAATGAAAGTCAATGGGATCTAAAACAACACTGGACGCTATTTACTTTCATTTCTCAGCCAGACAATTCTCAGTATATCTTCTTTTGTGTTCAACAGAGGATATAAATTCATACAGCTTTGAAACAACAGGGTGAGCAAATTAAAACAGAATTTAAATTTTTTGGGATCATTCCTTCAAAGGGGTCATATGATGCTGCTAAAAAGAACATTATTTGGTGTATTTGGTGTAATGAAATGTGTTTATGCGGTTTAAGGTTAAAAAAACACATTATTTTCCACATAATGTACATTATTGTTTCTCCTCTATGCCCCGCCTTTCTGAAACGCGTCGATTTTTACAAAGCTCATCGGTCTGAAAAGCGAGGTGTGCTGTGATTGGCCAGCTATCCAGTGCATTGTGATTGGCCGAATACCTCAAGCGTGTGACGGAAATGTTACGCCCCTTACCATACTGTGATGCCGTGTCCCGGCAGGAGCGACGAGACAAAATTATATTACATATAATAATATTATAAACGAGGCATTTGTTGCATCCAGTGGGGACATAATTATGGATTATAATGACTTATACTGTCTTTTTACGCGTTGCGTTGCATCGCGCCACGTAAACATAAAACCATGTCTGCATTTGTGATCTGAGAAATGACAAACAACAAGCGCTACTCTACACTGCCCAAAACTAGCATTTGAATCATCAGTGGCAAATCCTTTAAATAAGAAAACGTACTTACAGTCTGTGAGTCAGAACAGCCGGCATTGTAGTCTACTCTCCCAGGATCAGGAAAGAGTCCTCCATAAAATGCGCTGCACACATCTGAAAATTTGGGTTGAACTGTTCTGGAACAGTGTCGTAAATACAACTTAACCACTGATTTC